CCTCTTCCTCTCTAGACTTCTTGTTTTCCACAGTTTGAGTTGGAAATTCATACTCAAGAGCTTAAAATTTAATTTCATATAGCAATCAAACTAACCTATACATAGGAATGCCAAGGAACTTGCATGCTTGCTCCAACTTGTCCACTTCCTAGAAAATCTACATTAAAAAAAATTAGTCCCACCTTCCTTTCCAACAGCAAAATGCTAAAATTTATCATGGATATCACAAGCAGCACTTTTAGTTTCAGAATTTTGAAGCTCATCTTACACAATTCACAAAGTACTTTTAAATGTTTCCTTATAGATAGTCGTTGATTTACAACATCACTCTATGAAAGGCAAATGATCTTGGGTCAAATTCCAGCTCTGTGCTAACCTGTGTTATGAAACCACAAGTTAGTGGCTCTTTCATTTTTATTCAGTACCCCAAGCACTGAAATATCTTAGTTCAGGAGCCTACATAAAATGTTAGGTCTGAGTACTATTTTGTTTTCTCAAAGGAATTCATGTTACCATATCATCTTGATATCAATATAGTGCTCATCTTCAGCACTGAAGATGCTGATGTATTTTCTCAGCATGAAGTACCAGATGTATCTGACAAGTGGTGGCAAGCAAAACCTTATTTAATAGGTGTGAGAAACTATGTCAGTTGGAACAGCTGCCCTGAAACACTAGGAAAAAAAAGCACTGTGTACTCAGTTACCTTCAAAGCCATTGTCACTTGAAAACGATGATGATTAATGATGTCCTGGGCACCATCACCAAAAAAACACCTTTTTTTTTTTAATAGATAAATCTAAAATGAAACACAAAGTATAAAAATTGACAGATATAATGTTGGAATACAGGAACATTGTACACATTGGCTGACATTGGTTCCTAAAGGTGGAAAAAATTATTTAGCACTCTACTGAAGACGCTGAGCCTAATTAGAATCAGAATTTCAATATATGATTTTTTTTAGAATGATAGAATAAAATCTATACAGCCAAAGGATACATAGAAATTTGAAGAATCAAAGATTTTGTAAGTTTTAGTTCTGATTTTGACACTGGCAACTAAATTGCTATTTAAGAAATCATTAAATAAGTTACTGATTACAGATACCTTATTCTCAAAAGCAACTGGAAATATTTTGAGTATTTGCACAATTATTTTGCAACGTTTACCATGATGTCAGATACCATATTAGGTTTATTACTGTATGATACTTCAGCACATCTGATCTCCTCTAATTTAAATCTGTAATTTATGTAACGTAATGCTATGACATATTCCCACACTCACCACTTTAACTTTATTTAAAGAATCCTAAATTTTCTGCTGGCAGTTGAAGAGTAAAATTTCCTCCCTTGAGAGCATACTCAGACCTCCAGTGCACCTTAATGGCCTGTTCTTATGATGTGCTGTAGTAAAACACTGTATTTTGAGAAGAAAATAAACAGCAGTGTTGCTGAGATATCATGCTTTTCAACATCTAGAAGAACAGTAATTTAGATTCTTTTCTGACTTCAAGGATACTAGTTTTCCATAGCCAGGATTAAAAAAAAGAAAAATAATTAAGAATCAGCTGTATCAATTTTTGATTTACCTACATTTAGTTATAAGGCTGACTACTTTGATACTCTTTGTTCTTGACATATTTATGAAAAATATCCCTTGAGCTAAATGCAGTCATAAACAAAGGAATCATAAAAAATTCAGCTCTAAAATGCCTTCCTGTACAAAGTCTCCCAGCATATTTTCATCTTAAGCTGGGTCAGACAATTTTTTTTATTAGGTAATTTTAAATTTAACTTTCATGGAATTTTTATTTAATAGATAATCTATAAATTATTGTTGGTTAGAACCTGGGATTGAATTATTAAGCTTAAACATATGATTGGGGAACTGCACAATCTGAAAATACTTTTAGTTTCTTTCATTTAATTGAAAGGAAATGACAGATATTTTCATCATAACCTAAAACCAAAAAGCTGCATTCAGAAAACATAAATTTTGAGAGGATTGGAGAGAGATGGATTCTTTCAAGAGAATGAGAAATCCAACACACAATAGAAGAAAAGTGCCATCTGCTGAGAGTGCAGGCAAATTCTTCTCACCTTGGGTATGTGCTTCAGAGTTTACCTGCAAAATAATTCTGTATTTTATCAGCCCAAACATCATAAACAGCCACTTGACCCAAGATCAGCCACACTTAGTGAGGGTTTTGCAAGGATCACAGGTAAGGATTACAAGGCTATAGCTGGTAAGGGGCAATATCCAGATGGAAGTCTGCATTTCACTTGAAGACCACCTCTCACAATGCCTTTATGTAAAGGAGAACATGTCTCCAGCCTCGTGAAGAAGTACTAAGTTAATGGATTTCAGAGGGAGAAAAAGAACAGTACAGTAATTTTGATTGGACAGCCAAGCTACCCACTTTTTTCTTGGTTTAAAATTGTGGTTTGGCCAAGGACTCATCTAGCTCTATTATCTCTGAATTAGAAGGAACTGAAAAGCCTTCAAGGAGCCCCAAGCTACTTCCTTCTTCAACTGATTTATTTTCTCTAATCATCCTAAGTGGAATTCTCCTTTTCTGCTCAGCAGGCTGAGCCACTGCTCCAGGGCATGACAGGACCTGCACCTGCTCTCCAAAGACATCATTAACCCCTTTCTTCCTCAAATATCTTCTGTACAGCCTCTCATACATATATAGATATATATATATATATTAGAAAAATACCACTCCACTCTTAAGTCCAAATCTAATTTTGGTTGAGGTGCCAATAAGTTCAGAATAAGTATATCTTATAGCAACACTACTGTACATTAACAATCTTGGTTTAAATAAATCAAATTTATATGTGACAATTAAACAGGACTAGATCAACCTTTATAAGGTCTCTGCTACTTTCCAGGACATGTGAAAGAAATCTGATTTAGTCTGGTATGCAACAAGATATTGAAGACAATTCTTTGGAAAGTTTCTGTTGAAGCATTCAATCAACAGCATCCTTTTTAAATTAATCAAAATAATTCTTAAAAAATGATCGCTTAAACAAGACTTTCCAGGAAAAAAAAAAAAAGGAATTTTTTCTTTAAGAAAGATTTAAAATATTATTTCAGAATTTTGAAATATTCATATTTTGTGAAGTTTTGCACTATTCCAGGAAATAGATATTCTGAAAATATATTATTATGTAAAAATATCTCATTAAGCGCTGAAACTATAGAAAATGAGAAAAAATGATTAATTATCAAGATTCCAAAGCAAACTTGGTAATGAGGTCTCTGGTTGTTGTAACTCTGTCAATGGGCAGCCTCATGTTAATTTAAAAAATAAACCAGTGATATTAATAAAGTAGGACATGCACTCTTCCAAATCTGATTCCTATTAAAACCAGAAAAGCATGAAGAATAACTGAAAATGAATTAGTAGTACTACTTTATATTTTGTAACATTCGTGTCTAAAATATCAGCTAATAAAAATGAAATATAATACCCATCTCCAGATTATTCCAATTTTGCTTTGGGAATTTAGATAGTGACAGAAAAATAGTTAACATTCTGATTTTAAAAGCTTTTCTCTTTCTTCTCCCCAGTTTCTCTAGTCACTATCTCTTAGGTTTTAGCCAAATACAGATTCTTTACTCTGGTTTTCTTATGGGAAATTTCTGTCTCCATTATTCTGCAGACCTTCTCTGGTCAAAAATATTGAAATAATCATGCACACTTCACCTTTTGGACATCTTAATTTATTTGAGTCAATAAATAGCACTAAACAGTCACATATTACAAATGAAGTTCTCATTTAAAAGCTGAAATAATATTTCCAAAAGACTAAAAGTGTATCTCAATGTATTTGTCCGTTTTAAGGAGAAATTGTAAAGCAAATATGACATTCTTACAGAGAGATTAAAAAAAATGGTAAATAGTTATGGAACTCATCACTAATGCAGTAAATTTAGAGAAATTTACGTTTCTCTAAAGTTATCTTCCACCAGGAACCATGTCTGCTGCCTTTTTCTTACTATTCATTTCACTCTCAGGTAAAGTGACTTTCTGAGAGAAACTCTCTCCTGATTCCCCCAGCAGGCTGGTAACCCAAGGCTTGGTGTGTCTTTGGACATCTCAGTTTAAAAGCCTGAAGCTCAGTGAGAGGAATCTCAGCAGAATTTCTGACTGCAGTAGGGTTCAAAAACAGATTTTAAGGAATCAAAATACAAGTCTCAGAAAATTTTTTCCTTGAAGTTCTGTCTTTAAAAAAAAAATGTTTGTAAAAATCACAGCTAATATTATGCTAACATCTCATATTATGCTAACATCTTAGAATGCCATTTTTACCTTCTCTGTATTTGCCTGTGTGGGCTAACCTTCATTTGAGAGGAATGGTAAAACTCCTTTAACTTTAGTCAGAAAATAATACACATTTTTCATATCTTGGGACCAGAACTATATCATGGTACTTAATCCTAAAAAGTGTGAATTTCTTTTGACTTGAGCCTAATGTAGTTTTAAGTGTTAATGTTATCTTCAGATACAGTCAGTACATTTTTTATAATATAGAACAGGCTATCTCAACAAAAACAATGGGATTTAGATCAGTTCATCTGCCACTTATATTTTTGGATAAGGTATGTGTTTCGCCTATAAATTATTTAATTTTTGTTTCATTTCCTTCACAGCTCTTATTTCACATTTCAATATTTTAGTTTTTTTATTTATATCGCATTGAGAGAAATATGTAAACTGCTATTACTTCTATTTATTGCAATTTTGCTTCTGAAGTTACTGAGTTGCAATACTGTGGAGTGCCTCTGTGCTTAAAAACTTCAAAATATAAATAAGATCTCTAGTAAAGCAATGCAGGTTCTAAGCACTACAATAAAAGCAAGTTCCAGTTTGTAGAAGCACAATATATATTTTTGAATAACATCAATAATTCAGTAAAATATTTTGAATACTTTCAAATAATCTTTGAGTATCTTCAATAATTCCTTCCTCTCTATACCAGACATCTGTGATCAGAGGAACCTACCTTGGCATAGAATACATGAGAAAAGGGAATGGAGGTGATGGAGGAGTGATCATTAATATCTCATCCTTGGCAGGTGAGAAAATTTTCTGCATAAACAATTTCTGCTGTGTTTTCTTCTTCTTCTGTGTTTTTTTCTTGATCATACTGATCAGTCTTACTTTTTCTTCTTTTTATGGCCCTTTCCTATTTAGAAATATTTTGAACTGGTTTTCATCATAGCAATAGAAGGAATATCAAACAACCAAAAATTCAATTTGCTTTTTTAAACACAATTCAATATAAAAAAATGTAATTTTCCTAACCTATCAGTCTTGCATTTAAAACCTTGAGCCTGACATAAATTCCTCCATTCAATTCCAGAGGAACACAAATATAGGAACCTCTCTAGGCTAGACTGTACCTAGTTTATTAACAAAGTTTTTCACACACCCACTCTGTGTTCCAAGTCCTTTCAGCTGTGATCTACCTGTACTTGAGGAGTCATAAAATTACCACTCATATTTTACCAAGCTTAAGCAAGAGTGCATGGGTGAGTAGTTTAAGTTCTCCTGTAGACCTTAGCTTTTAAGATTAAATGTCCAGTTCACCCTACTGACATAATACATATGGATCTTGAAGATCTGACTTAATGCATGCACACATGTCCAAGACATGGAGTCTTATTAAAAGACTCCATGTACCTTTAAGTCAGCATTTTCCATACTGCCTGACACATTGCCTACTGACACCAGTAAGTTTGTCTCTATAGGCTGAAATGGACATTGTATTGGGTCCAAATTAACCTGAAGGAAACTGCTGTTGCAGTGCAAGAGGTCATCAACACAAGTAAAATATTAAACATGTTCACAGAGACACCAATGCCCAAGGCAGTGCTTAAGAAAGGGTAGGGCTAGCAAGTGGTTTGATTCCTTTTCTAACTACTCTCAAATGAACACAAAATTATTTTGGTTTTAAGACCTAAAAACTTGGCTGTTCTCTTTGTTAAGACAAACAACAGTTTCTCTGCTTTGCTTGGTTTTACATGGCTTGTGTTTAACAATTGTTTCCAAGGTCATAAGGAAAAACACACTTTAAAAGCTAACGTATACTAATTTTTATTGCTTTTGTACTTACTACTATTCGTGCTTTGTGATTGTAATTCTCCTTTTCAGTTTGAAGGTCTAAGTCCTGCAGTTTATTGCATATATGAAAGACAAACTTCCAGTGGCTTGCTTAACATCCCCTTCAAGTGTTTTCTCAGAGCTAGCTTCTGTTGATCATTAAACTTCTGAGTGGTTTTGATCCCCACTGCCCAAGTACTCTGTAACATACAAGACAGGAAACCTTCCCATGTCTTTTTGAGCAACAAGAAGAGTTGTACCTAGTGCTTATATAAAATTCAATAATATTTCCTTTGCACATTAATTAGCTACATTAATATTAATCAGTACATCACCATGGGAATTTTGCCAGTGATTTGGACTAGAGACAGAATCAAGCCTTACAGTATTACATTTCCAAACACCCATTAATTAATACTAGCAAAATTATTTCTGTGAAATGGATGCTTAAAAGTGTTTGATTGAGCTGGATCAAAGGCAGAGCCTGTCTATCCAGTAACAAGTAGTCTTGACCCCAGACAGGACTTAAAAGAGGGACAGAAATATGCGATCCCATGCAGCAGGCACTCAACTATGTCTCAAAGCTGCAAAATTTAATTTTATTTGATTTGTGCATTCATATCAAGAAGAAGTAATTCTGCTAAACTAAGATAATGAGAAATGTGTTTTATTTCAAATTTGGCTCCATAAAAAACAATTTCAATGATTGCAGGTTTTTTCGTTGGAATAGACCTAATTTTCAAATTCAAGTAATAAAATATTCTAAAATTTCTTCTCTAGTGAGCCACACATCCACACATGGTACCTTTAATTGCCTTTAATGGAATAGTTAAAAGAAACGGAGAAAGCATAAAAAACTAAATTTAACTCAAGAGGGTATTTAAATTATTAAACTTAAATTAACATGGTCTTTTACCTTTAGGTGGCTGTACCTGTACTCTTTTTGCAAAGGGTAAAAGGGCAAAAGGAATTCAAGTATGGCACACACTTTTGTTTTGATGGCTTTTGTATTTTGAAGAAGGTTTTCTGTGAAAATGAATTTGTATCTGTCTGTATTTTAGCAGACAAAAAAAAAAGTCAGAGTATTTACAGAGGGCTTAAAAAATGTTACAATTTTTTAGTATAGCATCATGCTACTTTTTTGAGAGGCTGTTCAATGTGTAGTGAATCTGGATGCCTTTCTGCTGCACAGCCACATCAGTTTGATTGCACTCAACTTCAAACATTCAGATTCCTCAAACAACTGATTTGCCTTCCCTTTATTGAAAGCTTCAGCTATGAGAGATACTTAAAGTGCCTGTCACAGCAAAAAAGCTTTTTTAGGACCAGATCCTATATGTATTACAAGAAATGGTTACAAGCAAGGACTCTGTCACAGGGATACAGGGGACCAGAAATGTCAATGGCTGTACAACTGAGGCCTGAGCATCATGACAGAGCTTCTGGTCCCTCCCCTTTGTGAAAAGCAAAATGCTCAGCAGAATCTGCCAGAATGAGGTTATTAACAAGAATTAGAAGCTATTCCCTTCAGACTTCACTATCAAAAAAAAAAAATCATAGAAATATCACAGCTTAGAATTTTTCCTAGGATTTCTGTTGCACCTTTGTTTTGGGACTCAGGAAGACTAAAATGATATCATGGAGGCATGCAGAGAGAAAACCAGAAAGGTTTTCTCAAAGTCCAGCTTAAAACTAAAAAGGCTAATAAATCTTATTCAAAGAAAGGAACTTACTCAAATATCTGAGGGCAACGTTCAATGGGAGAGCGTAACTGGGGAAAAATGCTTAATTCTGTTTTTATCAAAGTTCTTTCATTTCATCAAAGTGGAATGAAAGGAAATACTGGTTTCAGCAAAGCCTACTGATACAATTCAAACATATTGATAGAATTCTCCACCTCCAGTATTAATTTCTCAGGATGTGGTTTTTGATACTTGATCATGACAAATAAGGAGTTGTACTGAGACACCTGACACCATGTCTTCAAGGGTAGAGTGCTCTTGACACCAACAAGGAGAGCAGAATATAAGCAAGGGCAAGAACTGTCTCTCTCAGCCTGCCAGGAACTGAGAAAAATAAAACAGAGCAGTTAACACTGCAGCACAGGATTATTGTTGGTCTGCTTGAACTTGTTTTGCTAAACCAAAGAGCATCTTGAGTCATCACAAACTCATTTTCAATTCACCATGCAGCAATATCTAGAGAGAGAAAAATCTAGCCATAGCAGCAGCCCCCTCCTCCCCGTCTAAGAGAGATTAAAATCCAAATGTATCACTTTCCAGAAGTACCCTGACCTATCACCATCCATTGGAACACCTCCTCTTCTTCTCCCCATTATTTTGTGCATAATGGTCTCTAGTCTGTTTCACTGCCATCCTGCTTTGCATAAGATAATTAAATATTCATGGCAGCAGCAAATAGAATCCAGATTTTCTAACAAATGAATGCCCTAACTAATATGTCAGGAACTCATCTCTGCTCACTGGTTGAATAAATATGTGGGCAGAGCAGACTCAATGTGACACAGTGGCTCATCATAAAATACTTTAGGAGGGTCCCTGGGACATGCCACCAACAGAGGCCCAGCTCTTCCTAGGGTGGGGAAGTGGCTCTGAGCTGGAAAGCCCTCAATGGGGTTCTGAGTACTGAACTCAGGAACAAAAGTGACACAGGACTGTTATTGTTTTATGTGAGGAATGCTAAAACTAGTCTTAGATGCTTTATCCAAAAGTGAGATGATTTTTTCTTGGTTCTCCACTTCAGCAAAGATATTGATTTCAATTAGGAAAGAACTGGTTTTCAAAAAAAACCCCAAAAATTCTACTAGTTCCTCTCTTCCTGCCTAGTTATTCTTCCTGCCTAGTTATTCTTGCTGTCTTTGGCATTTAAGTAAGTCTTTGAGCCTTATTCCACCTCATTATTGTGAGCTGCGCCCTTCCTTTGTTTATTTCTTTACTTTGTTTCTCCTCCCTCTCAAGTAAAAGGTGATTTTTCTTACTGTGGTTAAAAAATAAAAATAAAATTACTAAATTTTTCTAAATCTAAATTCTTCCTCTGTGTATCCCAGTAGACTTCATCTGTTTTATTTCTGTTAGCTGCAGTCTGGTTAGAATTTCCTTTATTTGAAGCGTGTAAAAGTACTTGAGAGTTTGGTTTTTTTTAAAAATAGTATTGTATTATTTCTAATGTGCCAATATTCCAATGTTTCCAATAATCTGAAGAATGGTGATCATCAAAAGTCAGCAAACAGAAGAATATTAAGCATTTGTTGTGATCACAACCCACAGGAGACAGTACAAAAGCCATTTCATAAAGTGAGTTCTTAAGCAGAAGCATAGCACATTAGTCCAAGCTAAGCAAATAAATACAATTTTAAAAGGAAAACCAGACAATAGGTTAAGTTCTTCCTTTCCCAGTACTGAACAGTTCTGCTTTCACAGGATCATCAAGGTAGCATTTAAATCAAGATAAAACCTTGAAGCTGTCAGGTTGGTAATTAGAGCTTTGGGCTGTCTTATAAAGTTCTTTCCATCAGACAAAATAGATCCCAGCACAAAGAGCCCATGCAAGTCTGGCATATGTAATTTTTCTGGCAAATCCATACTTAGAGCTAGAGAGCGAATTCTTCATCTCCACTGAGGTAAGTTACACCCCTTCTTGAAAGTATCACCTTAAGATCTAAAGTATGAAAGATAAAAAAAATATGAGTTATTAATTTAGATTATTTCCATCAGAATCAAACATTAAGGCATTAAAATTACTATCCTGTTTTACAGCAGCACATTCAGGAAAATATTTTATCCTCTAGCTTTCAGACAGGCTGAAGTTCGCTATTCATAAGGGCCTAATTTTCAGGTGGAACTACAGCATCCATTTGGTCCAGTTCAGCTTTCATTGTATATTAGAAATTGTTGGCATAATTGGCAGAAATTAATATATGCTCATGGTCTGTCATTTCTTCTTGACTAGCTTTTTGCCATCTACTCAGTCTTACCAGAATTAAGTTCTTAGTTTTCTTTCAAAACCTCTGTTGTCTCTTCTTTCTCTAAAACAAATAAAAATTTTGTGCTCTCCCACTCAGACCATAAAGGTTTACAGTGTTAGCAGAAAATTTTTATTTTGATTCTCCTATTCCCACACTGGAAATGATTGCAGGTATCCAGTTCATACATTAGATATCAAAGCCCACCTAAACGACTTTGCTCCTCAGTATACTTTGAATACTTTACTGATTCATAGATGCCTCAAAAATCTCATTCTTGAGTGTTTTCTTCCAGATTGTGTCCTCTATTTTAAGTCATACTTCATAGATACAACTTTTCCTTTTAAAAGTTATATTTTTTTCTTACTCTTCTTTTGCCTGCACATTTTTATTCATCTTTTTTTTCCTTAGCCTATCCCAGATTACAGAATATAATTTACAAATGCCTACTAATCCATTTTGTTGCATCTCTGACAAATGTTTTTTACACTGTAGATCTATATGTATGTTTAAGGTAATCATAAAATAGGAGTATGCCACATCTTCATTCAGCTACCTTTTTATTTTAAAGGACTCATGCCTGCTGCATTCCAGCCTGTGTACTGTGCTACAAAGCACGGTGTCATTGGATTCACACGGTCCATAGCAGTAAGTATGCATTTCCCAGGGTGTCGTGAGCTCCTTGGGAACATGCTTACATTTATCATGTTCCTCCTCTATAGCCATACAACTGGAATTAATTTTATGAAAGAAAACAAAGTGTGTGAAGCAGTGGAGGTTCCCTCCTTTCACAAAGGGAGTCCGAAGATGGAATAAGTACGGCATCTGTGTGTTTATGACCAATTTGAGGTTTGGAGAACATAGAAGAAAGATGTTGCAGAGTAATTTAAGGACAGTGAGAGGAGTCCAAAAGCAAAATCCTAATCCAAGTTTTAAAACTCTTTTTTCAGAACCCTGTCCCAGTCATTTTGGTTTCCTTGTTTCTAAGTCAGGTCAATGACTTTTCTAATGATAAATAGGTACTGAAGTGTAAAAGGAGTTACTTGAACAGATCATTATTTATTCTTACTGACTCTTAATACAGTAAAAATGAAAAATGACACATCCAGGATGGGGCATGTAAGATGACCATATTATAAGTTTCAGCCTCTAACTCCAAAACTTTCTAGTTAGATTGAGTAAACAGTGTAATAAAACAACTTGGAGGGAGAAAATACAATTACACTTTAATAGATTAATGTTAAAGATAATCTGCTCACATAAGATTTCCAGTCTGATTTCCAGAATTAAACACCTGAAATTACACTCTATCCATCTATTTTATGCACCTGGAGTTATACTCTATCCATCTATTTTATGCACCAATCCCAACATAAATAACTCCTTTTTCAGATTAACATAAAGAGAATAGTGTGGATAAGTATTGCATATATCATATTAACATATCAAGAGCATGAAACCTAGTTTCCCATTTTTGTTTTCTCATTAGAAATATAAATGTCACATCTAAGCTCAAACGTAAATTAGAGGAAATGCTGTCTTTAAGGAACATGAGAATGCTGAGGAAAAAAGAATAAACATGGTGAGCTATGATCTTTACCAGGAAAGGCACTACAGCCTGATGTTGGGCAGGTCTGATACCTTACACCTAGGGCTTCAGTTTCTTTTCTCCCCAGACCAAAAGGGCAGGCTACCCTGCCATGAAAATGACATGTGACTTAGAGTATACCTGAAAGGAGTCCATTAAATGTTAAAAGAAAAAGAACACAGTGATTAACAGTTATGGTTATTCTTGGATATATCATGTATAATTTATCAGTTCTGTGCTACTGCTATGAAAGTTTATCCAGCTCATCCAGTTCATCCAACTCATACCTGGATGTTGATCAGACTTCTTTGCTACATGCACACTTTGGTAGAACCACAAACAAGGGGTCCTACCTCTCCCAGAACAACTTGTGCTTCTTTCTTGCATCATGTTCCCAAGCTGCTTCCTGAAAAAAAATCAGTTCACAGGGACTTTCCAGTGGAGATGCTCAGTGATAGATTCATGCCTTGGCAGGGACAACAGAGCAAGTAGAAAGGTTTAGCATTACAGCTGTAGGGATAGAGAACATACTGTATTGTTGTTGATGTGAGGAAGGTATCTTAATATAGTATCTTAAAGATTATTTTATTTCTTTCTGAGTTTTCTTTTAATAAAAAAGCTCCTATAAGATCCAGAGCATACATTTGGGAAAACCTTTCTTGTTTTTGCTTAGAAGAGTTATTTATATCATCACCCTCAAACACTGTCAACGACATGCTAAAGAGCACTAAGAGCAAAAAGTATTATGAAAAAAAAGCAGCTTCATGGGAAGAGTTCTGATTTCTCATAGAATTATTCTCCTGACAAAAGAAATGCTTTTTTTTTTCCCAGTAATCTAGTATGATTACTAGACAAAATGTGCTTCAAACTTTGTTGTTAAAATAATCAGTAGTAACACAATCTCCTTACTTAGCAAGACTGAAAATTACTTTGTGGTAAATCTCTTGCTTACAAATACTGTCTGAAAATGTTGATGACAAATGCCTACTACCCCTTTCTCTTTTCTAGTTAGCTGCTAACATGGAAAACTACGGTGTGAGACTGAACACAATTTGTCCAGGATTTGTCAACACACCAATTCTTCAGTCAATAGATAAAGAAGAGAATATGGGACAATACTATTCATACAAGGATGAGATAAAAAATATGATGCGCTACTATGGCGTGATGGAGTAAGTCAAGTCAGATACAATGGGGGTTTTGCATTTTGTTAATGAAGAACAAAGAAACGCTTTCAGCAAAATTAAACAAAAGGGAAATACTGCCTCAGATAAAAGACTATCAAAAGGGTTATCTGTATAGAAAGGAAAAAAAAATGGCAGAGATCTAAGCCTATTTTAAGAGCACCATCTGCACAGTGATATATCCCTTTATCCATTCCCATTTCCCAGCAAAGTCCAAATCAAATTAGCAAGTTAAATATAGTTCTTTTAGTTTTTAATAGCCTTTGGTGTTCCCTCATGAATTTGTTTAATCAAACTTGTTGTGAGATACAGGGTATATAATTTGCACAGAATTTTCACAAAATTGTCAAGTGAACCAAGATAGACCATGAACTGACAAAACTGATTAAGAGCACAACAGCAGCCACGATGGATCAGATCAAAGAGTTACCTGGCCCACTGCAGTCTTGCCAACAAAGGCCAAAAGCAGACAGCTTGGACAGACTGTGAGAACATGGCAAGCATAGTCATATTTTTTAACACTTGCTTAGCTTCCTACAATTAGCTTGCAAGATGCTTCTGCACAAAGGAAATTGTATGACCGTGTTGTTTCACCCATAATTTTCTTTATGTAAAATATTTTGCACCTATTGACCACAGCAAAATGCATGTGAAATTATTCTTTTTGCTAATTTGTATGTCAGCTCTGCTACAGAAAGATAAATCAACAGCAAAGAGCTGCAGAGGATTGTGTAAGGATTACTTCTGTCCATTTCCCTGACAGAGAAAAGTTTGATAGGAAGCCCAGTGGCAGATGGATGTCCACAGGCATTTATCAGAAACTAGAGCAAACAAATGATGATTTGTAAAGTAGCCACTTTAGATGTATGTCCTGATTGAGGAGAATACATATCTCTCCTGAAACACTCATACCACCTCTGCTATTCCTCAAAATAAATTTGTTCAAATACCATTTTTTACATTTTCAGATATATAGATTTACATCGAGTTTCTTGTCCTTTTTACATGTTCTATTATATCATAACTCTGAAATAACTTTTTTTTTTTCAGCCCATCAATAATTGCTGAAGGATTGATAACAATAATTGAAGATGATACTCTAAATGGAGAAGTTATGAAGATCACAGCATCCCAAGGAATTCATTTTCACCAATTTGGCCAAGCACCTTTTACATCATCAAAGAGATAAATAATTGTTTTGGGCTAATTACTTTTGGCTTTTCTTCAATAGAAAATTTTTGAAAAGAGTAATTTCAGGGGAAAAAAGATTAGTATTGTTTCTAGATCAGTGACAATGTTCAAACATTTGCATCCTAATAATGAAGGGATAGATGAGAAAATCTGTTGTGGAAAGATGTTACCACACTATTCTGATTCTATAAGCACTATTAACAGTTTTTATTTAGTAGAATAAATATACTGCTCTGAAGGGTTTTTTAAATTATTTTTTAGTAGTAGGGGCCACTTTTTTCATTCTGGTTGTTCTGATCTACATACTCCAAGCATAGTTTAGTTGATCTGACTTAGTTTGTTATTATTTTCACTGTCGTGCCTACCTATTTGCATCTTGAATTCTTCAGACCAGGAATTCAGTTCAGGAATCCAAATCACAAATGTAGCCATAGGGAGTTAAGAATTACCTTTCTCTTATGAAATGTTAAATATGTGCAACTTAATTCGTTGTATGTCGTAAAAGGAAGTACAGATTTTTAACTTCTTGGATTTTAGATATTTATAAAATATTTCAGAAATATTTTTATTTTCTTTTATAAATATATATATATGTGAATTTTCTCACTCTGTATATACAAAGAGGAATATTTTGGCATTGATTGAAATGTTGGCTTGCCTATTAAATCTTATTTTCTAAACCTTTAATTTCTTGCCTTCATTGAGTGAAATCTCATTTCAATCCTGAATAATCTGGTTTTAATCATGTTTTATACATATTCCTTTTGGTTTCACAGTACATATTCTCATATATAGCATGTCATATAGTAGCATTGAAAAGAAAAATTGAGCTTCCTACCTCTTGAGCAGTACTGTACCTTCTGAATCCAGGGTAATCCTCAGATACATTTATGCAAAAATTCTTCATGCTTCATGGCTTACATGCCTAAAAAAAATAATATTTTGCACAGTAATTTAGTTAGGCTCATAGCATAAGAAGATTTAATAGCTCCTGGGAAAGATGGAAAGTTAATATTTACCCTTCTTAGGAGTACTGACTTTAATTCCACTAATTTTTGTTACTGAAAGAGTGGAAACAGTAGTACTTACCTTCTGTGGAAGTCAGGGAGTAAAAAGTCTGTTGAGGGAGAAGAAAAGAAACAGAAACACATACTTTGAATTACTCATCCTTCTCCCAATGCCTGCATTTTTGGGTATGTTAACATTATTTTTAAAGCCCTTTTTGAATGCACACAGGATGCTAGCCACACCTTTAGCATCCCTGACAGCATCTGTAGATGCCGCTGGATTAAAAACTACCCTCTGATTTGATAGTATTCATTTCTATGTTTGTCTCATTGAAACCTGAGCACTTCCCAAAATGTGGCAGAATAGTGTAAAAGATGTGCTGAAAACTTGAAGTCAGCAAGTGTTAGTTAGGTCCTAAAGCTGATAATCATCTACCCCTGCGTGTCTCCTTGTTGAGCAGGATTTCAACATAGTCTAGAAACTATGGAAATTATTATTGTCATTATTTAATAATAACAATTGTACATGCAATACATGAAACCACCAAACTCCACACTAGGACAGTAACTCAGCAGCTTCTCTTTGCAACACACTTCAAATAATGATAGGAATATTACTGACAGTATGTTGCTGGCTTGATTGCTTTTGCTCCTCTCTGCTCCTTGCTACCCCAAAAGAAATCTCTGCTTAACAGGGTGGGTTGACCTCCCAGGAAATCAATGAAAGAACAAATAATTTAATAATGTTAATAATAAAAGGCCAGGAGTCTGATCTATGCTCCCTGAGGGAAGAAAACCAGAAAGAAATGTGAAGTTAATTATAGCTAATGATTTTAGTCATTGCTCAATTAACTTGTGATATTGCACTTCTATAAAATTCTAATCTATTAATTGGCATAATTCTAAGATTCCATTTATGTGGTATATCAATAGTCACACAAGAAAAAATTAGATTCATAAAGCATGCAATTAGACTTCAGGACACCAGAAAAATCTAAGCCTATATCTGGGAAAGAATTTAAATTGTATCTTACATGTATAGGTCTTTTCTTCAGGATTAATTTTGTAACTCAAAAGACAGATGTTTTCAAATGAAAACCATACAGAAAACTTCCTGAAAGGCATATACTGCACTGATTTCCATCTGATAATCTGATAAGGAAGCCTCAGGATCAAATAAACATTTAAACTAAGATAAATCTGGAACCTGCTGGAAGAAATATGTACAGTGAAGCAAAATCCTTGATGCAAATCATAATGTGAAAAATAACCATCAAAATTCTGTGTTTTAATTAAAAAGTGCCCCAAACCAATTACAGCTTTCCAGTTTCAGATAGTTTGAATTTAAAAACATCTGGGGGTTTTATCTGCACAGGAAGAACAAGTTCTACATATGTTTTGGAAGGGTTTCCTGTAAGACTTCCCCCCAAACTTTGGAAGACTTCCAGTCAGAAAGAAAGAGAGCATATGTTTGATGTAAAGAGAAAAAGACCAGAGAAGCAGTAGGTAGAAAGATGAGTTGAAGGAGGAAAGTGAGTTTTATTTTTTGCACAAAGACTGTTTTGAAACTTCATCTTCAGTTAAAAGTCTTGACATAATTCCAAGACTTAATTTATTTTGCCCAAGAGACCATCATTTTTAAGACAACTGTTCCAGTGTTGTAGAGAAACTCAGCCAAAAGGAAAAATAAATATTTTAAATGAGATATACTAATTGCCAAGAACATAAAATAACAAGTAATATTCTAGACTAGTATAATGATCATTATTTGGAATGAACACTCAATCCCATGTGACACAAGTTTACTTTTCAGTGTGTCCTTAGAGTTTCAAGTAGGATTTTTCTTAGGGGTAAAGAATAAATATTACTACTGAACTCCATTTTTTTCAGTGCTTATGATCCTACAGAAAAGCCAAAATCATAAGGCATTTCAAATGCTTTGTTGCATGACAGTGTTAGTTTATTTTGATTATTTAATGCCTTAATTCAAGGCATTTAAGAGGTAAATAATCTACATGATTATGTAGATTGTTCATTGCATTCTGTAGAGTTCAGAATGACCTAGAATTAACCTGTATTATGAGTGCCATAAAATCATATGGCTTTCAATTTTGTTATTGCCAGGGTGAACCATGGAGTAAAAAACCCCTACTTGTAGTTTTCTGAAATTAAGGAAGTCCAGATATGAAAGACTAGACCTTTTCCTCTTGCTTGGAACACAAGCTTTGCAAACAGTAGACCAAAAATAAATTTCAATAGAACCAAAACCTGATTTCCACAGAAATCGTGAATATGAGAATAATCTTTAAAGGAAAGCATTAGGTACCTAAAGCTATGGCCCCTTCTGACAGATGATGATTTCCTTCCTCCAGTGTTGAACTGCTCTAAACTTTTGACAGGATGATTCTCCAGCTTGAACTTCCCTTTTAGCTAAGTCTATTTGCTTTGCATCAAGAGATGCTGACAGTTTTCAGCTCCAGCTCCAGGAATCCAGATGGTGCAAGGAAAGTGAAAGATAATACCATATGACTTTGATTTTTTTCCCTCCAGTACATAAAGGAACAGCTTATGTCAGGTCAAATTTAAAATTAAAACAGAAAGAGGCAGTAAACAAGCATAATGCTCTTACTCTGATAGGGACAGTAAATAGGAAGAGATCAGATGAGGTAAAATAAGGTGCAAAGATGCTAAACCTGGAACATCTTTAAAATAAGTAACTTAAACCCCACTTTTTAAGTGAAAGGCCATGCACTGTGGCCCAATTTTAAATTTGGATGTTTTCTGATTTGTACAAAGACAGTCTAACACACATTCTCTCAGGGATTTAGAGGATAAAATCAGGATCTTCACAGTAAAAATAAATCTTAATGAAAAAAATTTATCTATTTCAAGCAATCATTCAGCAATGAAGTGTTTGAAACAGTTATATATTCAGGTCCTTTTATTTTTCACCAGCTCTGTATTAATTCACTGCTGGTGACTGCTGGGCAAACTTTACAGAGATTATTACTACTGCAGAGGTGGAATTTATTTCTTGCTACAAGAATTGCACTTTTTTAGCTTTCACTTTCATCAGAGGGTTCTATTCCTCCTCCTTTCACACAGGAGAGAGGCTGCACAGGACAGGATGATCATCCAGTGATTGGTTCTGCCTGGAATTCTGAATGGTTGAAGGCTCTAGATTTAGCCTCATCAAACAGAGATTTATGGTAGTGGCATCCAAGCAGAACACAAAAGATCTACCTAACCCCTTATTTGTCACCCTGATTCTGCCAGTTCCTTCTCTTTATCTTTGCATTGGACTACCTTAAACATGAGCATTTCAGAAGTGAACTACACTGCAGATACACCAAAACATCTGTGCTTCTTCAGCAGCCTCCAAGAACATATTCACATAAGATATCACTCATTTCACTGATTTCAGAGAAATTGTAAAGCCAGATTATTAGTTCACATGATGCTCCACATCCAAGAAATGGCTCAAGGTATCTCAGCAGATTTTTTTCTCTTTGCAATGGAATCTTTCCCCAGTAGCCACAGTCTTGAGAAAGGACAAAAAGAAGAATAAGAAATCAAGCTCTCAGTCAGACAGCTTTAAACTCCTCACTATAGGACATGAGAATAAGCACACTTCTGCTTGCTTGCAGAAAAAAAAAACAAGCACACATAGACAAATTTCAGTGCACTTTCCCACAGCTGCAAGCACAACCCACAGAAGCAAAGAGGAAATAAGGACATTTTTGGAATACAGGAATGTAAAGCTCTTCAGAAAAAATAGTTGTATTTTAGCTCATCTAGCTATTTAAATTTACTTATTTTAAATAACTAATGCTTCAGAATCTTGTACAGCATTTGACCTTGAAGCATTATTTCAGCAATTAACACTACAAGCAGTTAATGTCATACATGCACAAACAGTGCAGTTCTCAAGAAAGACCCAGAGATGGGCAGAGAATATTAAATTCTCTACTACTTACTCTGGAACAGTTCTTACAAAAATGAAAGAGCTTCCTTGCACAAAATCCTTCTGGCAATTTCACTTCAAACAGATACAGCATTCCTTTATGGAGTTTTTATCCTTCTCTGCAATTGTATCTGTTTAAATACACTGCCCTCAGCAATGCTTACAAATTAGCTGACACTTATCAAAACTATTGCTGTTGTTTTGATTTAAGGGAGTTACTGTACTTGGTACATATTAATGCAAGACTAGGGAAAATGCAGCTAGCATTTTTTCACATATCTATCTATCTAT